TAAATAAAGGGTGGGAAGTAGGCAGGAGAGGGGCGCGCAGTTGCTAACGGTGCGCGCATCACGGGGCTGCCATAACGGTTCGGCTTCCACTCGCCCGCGGCGGGAGATCCCTGAGGAGGCTGGGCCCACTCCAGTCCAGCTGGAGGTGCCGGATTGGCCAGCAGAGCTCCCCGAGGAGGCTGGGCCCATCCCAGCCAAGCCGGAGGCCCTGACTCAGCCAGCGGAGCGTCCCGAGGAGGCTGGGTCCACCGCAGCCCAGCTGGAGGCCCCGGCTCCGCCTGCAAAGCGCCCCGAGGAGGCTGGGCCCACCCCAGCCCAGCCAGAAACCCTGGCTCAGCCTGTAGAGCGCCCCGAGGAGGCTGGACCTAGTCCAGTCCAGCAGGAGGCCCCAACTCTAGCTCCATAGTTTCCTATGGAGTATCTACTTCAAACTTCAGTAAGTGATGAGGTGATAAGTCAGCCTATAAGCCACTATCTAACTTATTTAAGGTTTTCCAGTGTTACACATAAATCTGCGGATGTGGAACTTACCATAACTCCAGAGCCGGCTAAGGAGGTTGGATCTTCTACAGCCCAGCAGGAGGCTCCACCTCAGCCTCCTGAGCATACTGAGGAAGCAGAACCTTCTCCAACCCAGCAAGAGACCTCAGCTCAGCCTCCAGAGGCGGTTCAGCCTTCAAGTGAGCAGCAACCAGCTCAGCCTTCTCAGTCTCCTGGGCGGGTTGAACCTTTTCTAACTCAGCAGGAGACCCCAGCTCAGCCCTCAGAGCCTCCTGCGGAAGCTAAGCCTCTAAGCGGACAGGAACCACCAGCTCTGCTTTCTGAGCCTAGTGAGGAATCTGAACTCTCTCTGCCTCAGCAGGAGATCCCAGCTCAGCCCCCAGAGAATCCTGAAGAGGCAGAACATTCTCTAGCTCAGCAGGAGCCCCCAGCTCCGCTTCCAGAGCCTTTTGGAGAAGCTGAATCTTCCTCAACCCAGGAGGAGACCTCAGCTCAGGCTGCAGAGCTCCCTAATGAGGCAGAATCTTCAACCCAGCAAGAGACCCCAGCTCAGTCTCCAGGAGAGAGAGAATCTTCAGCAACCCTGCAGGAACAACCAGCTCAGCCTCCAGAGCTGCCTTCTGGGGAGGTGGAACCTTCTCCAACCCAGCAGGAGCACCCAGCTCAACCCCTAGGGCATCATGAGGTGACCGTTTCGCCTCCAGGTCACCATCATGTTCAATATTTAAACCTGCCCAATGTCAGTGTTAAACCTGCAGATGTGCAGGTTACTATAACACCAGAACCCATTACAGAGGTGGGACCCTTGCCAGTTCAGGATGAGGCTGCAGCTCAGCCCTCTGTGCCCCTTAATGTGGAACCATTTGCAATGCAGCATGAAGCCCCAACTCTGCCTCCACAGTCTCCTGAGGAAGCTGAACCTTTGCCAGTTCAACAGGAGACTCCAACTGAATCCCCAGAATCTACCACACAGGAGAAACCTCCAACACAGCAGGAAACCCCAGTTCAGCATCCCGAGTATCCTGGAGAAGTTAACCCTCCCACAACCCAACAGGAGGCCCTGGCTCAGCAATCACAGAGCCCCGAGGGTGAACCATATTCAACCCAGGAGGAGGCCCTGGCCAAACCTCCAGAGACCCAGGAAGAGGGTGAACCTTTTCCAGCCCAGCAGGAGGCCCCAGCTGAGCTTCCACAGACCCCTGTAGAGGCCAAACCTTCCTCAATACAGGAGGAGAGCCAGGGTCATCATCCACAGACTCCTGAGAAAGTTAAACCTTCAACCCAGCAGGAGACCCCAGTCCAGCATCCACAAGCCCCTGAGGAAGGAAAACTGTCTCCATCCCAGGAGGAGGCTCCAGCTCAATTTCCACAGACCCCTGAGAAGGGTGAATCTTCAACCCAGGACGAGAGCCAGGGTGGGGATCCACAGACATCTGAGCAGGTTGCACCTTCTCCAACCCAACAAGAAGCCCCAGCTGAGCACCTGCAGACCTCTGAGGGGATCAAACCTTCTACAACCCAGGAGGAGTCCCCAGTTCAGCACCCTCAGGTCCCAGAGGAGGGTGAGCCTTTTCCAACCCAACCAGAGACCCCAACTGAGTATCCAGAGTCTCTTGAGGGGATTGAACGTTCTCCAGGCCATTCAGAGGCCACAGTTCAGCATCCAAATCCCCTTGGGGAGGTTAAACCTGCAACCCATCAGGAGGCCCCAAGTCAGCAGCTACAGACCTCTGAGGAAGTTAACCCTTCTGCCATCCAGCAGGAAGCCATAGCTCAGCATCCAGAGCCTTCCGGTGAGGTTGAACCTCCTCCAACCCAACAGGAGGAGGTCCCAGCTTACTCTCCAGAGCATCATGTGGTAACAGTTTCTCCTCTAGGTCAGAGTCAAGCTCAGCTTCTGCTGTTGTCCAGTGTCACTATTAAACCTGTGGATCTGGCACTAACCATAACTCCAGGGTCCACTAATGAGGTTGAAACTTTTCTACCCCAACAAGAGGCCTCAGCTCAGTCTGCGGTGTTCCCTGAGCAGTTGGAACCTTCTCCAATCCAGTAGGAGGCCCGAGATCATCCAGCACCCCCTGAAAATGTTGAACCTTCTCCAATCCAGCAGGAGGCCCGAGATCATCCAGCCCCCCCTGAAAATGTTGAACCTTCTCCAATCCAACAGGAAGTCCCAACTCAGCCTGAAGATCTTCCTGAGGAAACTGAACCATCTCCAATCCAGCGGGAGGTCCCAGATCAGCCTCCAGCACCCCCTGAAAATTTTGAACCTTTTCCAGTGCAGCAGGGAGTCCCAATTCAGCCTGAAGATCTTCCTGAGGAAATTGAACTTCCTCCAAGCCAGCAGTGGAGCTCAGCTCTGTCTCAAGTGTCTGTTGTGGGTGTAGAACCTTCTCTAGTCCAGCACGCGGTCCCAGCTCAGCGTCCAAAGCCCAGTGAGGGGATCGGGCCTTCTCCAGTTGAGTATGAGCACCCAGCTCAGCCTCCAGAGTTCTCTACAGATATTGTATCTCAGGCTCCAGTACATCATGAGGTGACATTCTCACCTCTAGGTCCCGGTCAAGCTCAGCATCCAATGTTGCCCAGTATCACAGTTCAACCTATAGATCTAGAGGCTTCCATACCTCCAGTGCCAACTAAGGTTGAACATTCTCCAGTGCAACAGGAGGTCCCTGCTCAGGCTCCAGTTCCCCCTGAGCAGATTGAATTTTCTTCAATCCAGTTCAAGCCTCTTTCCCAGTCTCCGGAGATCCCCAAAAATGAATCTCTTCCAGGCCAACAGGAGCTCATAGCTCAGACTCCAGACCCTCCTAACGAGGTAGAACCTGCTTCAGGCCAACAGGAGGTCCTAGCTGAGCCATCAGAGCCCCCTAAGGAGATTGAACCATCTGCAAATGAACATGCAGTCTCAGCTCATCCTCCAAAGCCCACTGAGGAGGTCAAACCTCCACCCCAGCAGGACGCTCCAGCTCAGTCTCCTGTCCCCCAGCAGGCCCTAGCTATATCTCCTGAGCCCCCTAAGGAGGTAGAACTTTTTCACACACAGCCAGAGTCCCCCATCTCAGCCTCCAGAGCCACCTGAGAAGGTAGAACCATACCCAGTCCAGCAGGAAGCCCCTGCTCAGCCTTTAGAGCCCCCTAATGAGGCAGAATCTTCAACCCAGCAGGAGGCTCTAGCTCAGTCTCCAGTTCACCAACAGGCCCCAGCTAAATCTCCTGGGCCCCTTAAGGAGGTAGAACCTTCTCCAACCCAGCAGGAGGCCCCAGCTCAGTCCCCTGTCCCCCAGCAGGCCCCAGCTATATCTCCTGAGCCCCCCAAGGAGGGGGAATCTTCTCCCACACAGCCAGAGGCCCCAGCTCAGCCTTCAGAGCCCCCTGAGAAGGTAGAACCATCTCTAGCCCAGCAGGAAGCCCCAGCTCAGCCTCTAGAACTCCCTGACAAAGTGGAACCTTTTCCAGTCTCTCAAGAGACCCATTCTCAGCTTCCACAGTCTCCTGAGAAGGTAGAATCCTCTCCAGTCCTGCAAGAAGCCCCATGTCTACCTCTAGAGCCCCTTAAGGAGGTAGAACCTTCTCCAACCCAGCAAGAGGCTCTAGCTCAGCCTCCAGAACCACCTAAGGAGGTTGTAGGACAACCTCCAGTCCATAATGAGGTGACAGTTCCACCTCTAGGACAAGAGCAAGCTCAGCATTCAAACTTGCCCAGTGCCACTGTTAAACCTCTTGATCTGGAGCTTACTGTAACTCCAGAACCTACTACAGAGGCTGAGCATTCCATGGCCCTGCAGCAGACTCTATCTCTTCCAGAGGACCCCGAGGTGACACTTCCACATCCAGAGCACGTTCAGGCTCAGCAACCACATTTCACTGAAGTCACAGCTCAACCTTTAGACCTGGAGCTTACTGTAAATCCAGAACCCACTACAGAGTTTGAACATTCTACAGCCCTGAAGAAAACTACAGCTCCTCCAAAGGACCTCGAAGTGACATTTGCACACCTAGAGCAGGTTCAGACTCAGCATCCAACTTTGGCTGAAGTCACAGTTCAACCTTTGGACCTGGGGCTTACCATAACTCCAGAATTCACTAAGGAGACTGAACTTTCTCTACCTATGCGGGGGACCCCAATTCAGCCTCCAGAGCCACCTAAGGAGGTTGTTGTAGCTCAGTCTCCAGTATATCAGGAGGAGATTGTTCAGACACCAGGTCAAGATCAAGCTCAGCATCCATCATCACCCAATGTAACAGTTCAACCTTTGGACCTGGAGCTTACTGTAAGTCCAGAACCCACTAAAGAAGTTGAACAATTTACAACCCTGAAAAAGACTACATCTCCTCCAAAAGACCTTGAGGTGACACTTGCACATTCAGAGCAGGTTCAGTCTCACCGTCCAACCTTAACTAAAGTCACAGTTAAACCTTTGGACCTGGAACTTACCATAACTCCAGAATCTGCTGCCGAGGTTGAACCTTCTCCAGCCATGCCTGAGATCCCAGATCAGCATCCAGAGCCGACTAAGGAATTTGTATCCCAACCTCACATATATCAAGAGGCACCAGTTCCAACACCACATCAGGATCAAGCTCAGCATTGGTGGTCACCAAATGTGACAGTTCAACCTTTGGATCTGGAGCTTACCATAACTCCAGAATCTACTACAGAGGTTAAACAGTCTACAACCCTGCAGCAGACTACAACTCCTCCAAAGGACCTTGAGGTGACATTTCCACAGTCAGAGCAGGTTCAGTTTCAGCATCCAACCTTAAATAAAGTCACGATTAAACCTTTGGACCTGGGGCTTACCATAACTCCTGAACCTACTACAGAGACTGAAACTTCTCCAACCATGCAAGAGACCCCAGCTCAGCCTCCAGAGCCACCTAAGGAGGTTGTAGTTCAATATCCATTTCATCAGGAGGTGACATCTCCACCTCCAAGTAAGGATCAAGGTCAGCATCCAGCATCACCCAGCACCACATTTCATCATGTGGACTTGGGGCTTACCATTACTCCAAAACCGATTACAGAGGCTGCACGTTCTACAACCATGAAGAAGACTATAGCTCCTCCTCCAAAGGACCTTGAGGTGACACTTG